CTTTCCGTATACTTACCGTATACTTACTACACTTCCCACAGTGGTGACAGGGATTTTTTTTAAGCATTACAGTTTTAAGACAGGAGAATTGTTTTAACAAGGGTTGTCATAAACTGCCCCTTCCAGTTGACATTGCTTCCTAACAAGCAGCAGCACACAGCGTGCACACTCACAGATCACACTTTAGTAGTCACAGGGAACATACCTATCACCATTACATTTTTCTTTAAAGTCCCTGCAGTTTTCTCCTTCAACATTCTGAATACTAAAGCACAGCACTGTTTTAAAATCAGCCCAGGCCTCTGTTTTCACCTAATAATGAATATCTAGAAGTTGTTTTAACCAAAAGATCAGAATCCTTCAGAAAAATTACACTTCTCAGCACATTTCTTCTGACTGCAGGAGACACAATAACAAGTCTCCCTTTACCACAGCAGAAGGCGCCAAGGAAAGCTCATACATTCTGTTCTTAATCACACCCCAATGCAGCACAGTCTGAACTAGAAGAACAAGTAAGTAACAAATCTTCCTCACCTAGCTGAAAGAAACCATGAGATTTATTTTCAAATTTGGAAAAAGAATGCATGCAGGCTGAACAGAAAAGCTAAGGCTTTTTAGCTTTTCTGCTATCTCTGATCTGCTTCTTCCCTGACAAACAACTGACCTCACACCAAAAGCTGGCATCTGCATGGTACCCTGGCTTCAGGTGTCACTGACACCTCCAGTTGGCTGCACCTGGCCACTGCTAAGGGAGCAAGCATGGTGCAGTAGCCATCTCCCTGGCTTCAATGCCATGTCACATGTCATAGCCATGTGCATTTCTGTGTGCACATGTGGGATCTCGTATTATGACACAGTACTCCCATGTTTTAACATTGCCTTGTGTTTCATGGCTATGATGACTCCACAAATTATAGCATTGTAAGTTTTAAAAGAGCTTATTAGATGGCTGGTTGACATTTGAAGGATGAAATTCAGTAATGAAATGAAAGTAAGGAGACTATTTGAACTTTTTAAGCCATTTAAACTCTTGCCAATGATCATCTACACGGCAGTCTCTTATTTCGAAGGCATACGTCTCTGAAGTACTCTGGGCTGGGCACTTGTGCTCTCTATGAGGCACTGCCAGTAGTTCCAGTGATGAATTGGTTACACAAAGGCTTATGAGTGAGTTACAAATTCATACCAAAAACCAGCACCTCCATTGCATCTCTACTCAGCATCCAAGTTTTCTTGGAAAAAGGGAACACACAATAGTTCCTCTCTGTTCTGACTTCAACAGATCATCTAGTGCAAATCAAGACACAGCACTTGACCAAACAATAACTCATTTAACTAAGAATAGGTCTTCCTCAACCCTGGCATGTTGTGGAGCACAAGATTTCTTTCTCCTTGGGGTCCTTGACAGCTGTTTATCAAGAGGGAACCATAGATGCGAAGTGTCCACAGGCTTCAGATCTCTCATGTGGAAGACTGCATCAAGGAGAAGTGAGTTTGGACTGAAAAAATATGGATGCTGTGTATGTTGGGGACCTGAAGAAGTATGTTCTCTAGGCTGCTGCACAGAGTCTGAAGAAAAGATAGCTAGATAGTGGAGGAGCATAATTTATGTGGAGCTGATACTTCTCAGCAATGAAGGCTCTGAGGACGCGGCTGGCAAACAAGATAGAGTTGATGAAGTTGTGCTTTGATCAAGGGGAAAACACATTTTCAGCATATTCTTAAACGTAATTTGAAACAAGATGTGTGGCTTTTTCAGGCACATCCATTCCTCTAATTTCTTGTCAAATGCTTGTGTTACCATTAGACTGCTAGGAGTTATAGGCAAGGAACATTTCTCTCATTTTCTTTTTCTTTGGGAAATCTGGCACAATGTAAGTGCAATGACCAAAACGTAAGCCTCAGTTATGATATGGATCCCATTTTGGCTACAATAGCCTCTCTGAAAAGCTACCATCATTTCTGTGACAAGGAATGCTCTCTGTGAAGAACTAATTTTAATCTCTAACTTCTTATTATCACAGAAAGTAGTTTTATGCCATACTGACAATACTCATATTTTCCATTATCCTGTTTTTTTCCATGCAGGACAGAAATGTAAATATTGAAATATTTTCTCTATTTTGTGTAAACAATACCAATGAAGAACACTGATGGTCTCCAAAGAGAAGGAAGAAAAGTATATTTAAAAATAGCAACTTAAGCTTCTTTCCTAAACAATTAAAGTAGACTGCTTTCTCTCCAGAATATTAATAAAAAATGGAAGCTTTAGAAATTCATGACACACAGGGCTAAATCAGTCTACTACAGATTTCTAGCATGTGTAACTCATGCATCATTTTTCAGAAGGGAATTTAAATTAAATTGAAATAAGAATGTTATACTTACTGTAGCTAATTCATCAAATTTGCCAAAAAGCTCATTCAGCAGCTTCACCAGCTCTTGGGCAGTACACTGTGATGCCAAACTAGTGAACCCCACAATGTCTGCAAACAAAATGCTGTAAAGAAGGAAAAAGACACAGGGATATCAGTACAGAAGACATCTTCAAATTCTCATTATCCTCTTTTATAGCACGAATGTGATCCAAAGCACAAACTCAAACAAGCCTTGAAACACTACCAATAAAGTCTAGTTGGAGCAAAAATGGCAAAGATTCAGGCAAATAGGCTGGTGCTGTCAACTGCTGTAGAGAACCCTGGGAGACTTTCAATGCCTATATACCTATCCTATATACCCATCCGGTGTACATAGGGCAAAGCACCTCATTTATGAGGTTTGCCCATGAGCACTCCAGGAGCACAGAGAACAATTACTTCTCCTCTTTACAGCTGGGATCGTATCAGCTTGATTCATTTCAAAGACCGTTTTTGCACTGGTAGAGTTCCACAGCCAAATTGATAAACCTTGCATGAGGTTTACTAAGTACTGAAAGACAACAGTTAATAACTTGCGTATGGTAGCTCCATGATGTGGTTTTACTGCTCCTTGTGAGGAGCTAGCATCCACAGTGTCAGGCCAGGCTTCTCTGTACTGTGCTGCATGTCTCAGGTAAGTGTCCAGCTTCCATTAATGTTAGCAAAGTTTTAATGTCCAGCAGTTTAATCTGCCTTAACAATCCCTACCAATCTGTGATGATAAGGGGAGATAGTTGAAAGAAGCACAGATACTACTGTGATAGAGAGAATAAAAATTATTGCGCAGATCCTGAAACTCAAGAGTATGGAGCTGTGATCCTCTTAATTATTTAGATTCCTTCATTTGTTGGCAGAGGCCCAGAGCCCACTGCAGAAACCTAATGCATTTATCTCCAACACCCAGACTATAAATGTCAAACAAGTATTTATTTATGCAAATGCTAACAAACAGTCCTGTACTACATGTCCTAGGTATACTTGACTTAGCTTGCAAACTGTAAGTTAAATTAAGCATTATGTACTCCTCTTCCCCTCAACAAACCTTCACTCTATAGATAAAATAGCAGATGCTAGAAAAGCAGGACTAACAAGTCTACTGTTTCCCATTCACCATAACCAGGTCTGAATTCTCCCATGAAGCTACAAAAAAGAGCAAATACAACTCCTAACTCAGCCACTCTTTCTATAATTTCATTTAACCCTGATGCTAAAATCTCTTGTCCACCAGAGCAGATTAGGTAACATATCCCAGCACAAAACCGACTCATCCGAAGTTCAACAGCTTTGATCTACCAAAAGCCTCTATGTTGTCATGTTAATCCTTGGGGCAGCCTCCCCACTCTCTTCTTCTTTGAGTATGCTTTATGAGAGCATTGCTCAAGATGGCCCTGGTTCAGGGAAACAATAGCTATTCCATTCCTATGCTGTTTAAAAACAACAAAAAGGCTTCTTAAAATAAAACATTCAGCTAATTGACTAAATAGTCAATTTTACTGATTCGTGACTCTCCTATCATGAATGTGAACCAAGCAAGTGATGAGTAAGATAAAAGGCATTAGCAGAGTGCAATAACGCCAGCAAAGTGCTCTGCATATTTGCCCGTGAAGATCGACTTATTCTCTTAATTCTGGACTGACATCCTTGTTGTTTGACAGCCCTAGGATGGTCTGTCTGGAAATTCATCAGTTAATATCAAGTCATTCTCCTAAATTCCTTGAAGATTTTCAAATGTACTTAAATATGCATCAAGGTCTTTGATGCAGTTTGCTTTATGACCCATTTGCTTTATGACCTAAATTCACATCAGAATTCATACAGTTGAAAAAGACACAGAGGAAAAAACAACAACTACAATTGTTGCAATCCAACACGTCATGTAGTTTCCAGGTTTTAGTTAGTATGGAGGGGGAGTGTAGGTGCTATTTTATAATAGCAGCTTCTGCTAGCTTCTCTGCCATTTTACGTCTCATCCTTTGCACATTCTACATTTTGACTGTTTTTATTTTTCTGTTTCGATTTTAAATATGGCAGTCCACATTTTTTTGTGTCTAACCACATTTACAGTAACAGTAATATCTCCTGCAGCACCAACATCCACTTGGAAAAAATCAGCATTTGGGGGGTTAGGCCTTTGAGGTAATAATAGTGTTATCTGTTTACCAATCTTCTTTAACAATGAAGAACATACACATGCACACAAACCAGAAATGTCCAGTGTTTGTGGAGACTATACCACAATGTCTTAACAACTAACAGAGCAACCGTTACACTGCTGACATGTACACTTACATCAAAACCTCTCAGTTAGTTAAGCACCGAGCACAGGAAATACATTCATGTACAATTATTCAGTTAAAAGGAAAGTTATTTTACATACGACTACCTTAATAAGTCAGTATGGGATCCTTGCTAATCCTTTAAACATTTTAAAAGAGTATCTAATAATGCTTAGCCCTCAGCATTTGATTTAAAACACTGGTAATTATATAAAAAAGTGAAGTCCATGAAAGTACCCACAATACATAACTGAACGTGTAATTAGGTAAAATATGTAATTATTGTGTGCTGAGACACAGTTGTAGTTCAGTTATGCTTGTGAATTATTTCATACTGCAGTTAACTGTATGTATATATTTTAAACCTAACAGAATATGTTAGGCAACATGATTACTGATACACTTTTTTGGCATAAGGGTTTTTAAAAAAATTGCAACTGTTTTTTTACAAAATTTGTAACTAGTTTAATACAATTTTCTTAAAATGTCCAAAGTATAACTGCCGTGTCTGGACATGGCACAGCAGATGGGGGCAATGGTGTGACTACAAGCCCTGCCTTTTTTTTAGAGAAATTCTGCTCATTTCTACCACCATGAAATGTTACAACCATAGCAACTGCTGCATTTCTTTTGAATGTAGGCTGAAATACAAATGACCAAACCTGATTTTTCAGCAGGGATGGTAGGAAACAGCCAGTGGATGAGGAGGGGCTTTGCAGACCCAAAGTGCAACTGGGACTGCAAGCCTTCTGCTTCCACGCTCTGTTGCTACTCAGGGGTGGCAGTTCGGAGGAGGATGACCCCCTCTCACAAACTTGGAGCTCTGATATTCTAAAAATGGCATTGAAACTCATTAGCCAGTTCATTTTATTTTAGCTAGTGCACTGACCAATATTACCTCTTGCATTTCCTCACCTGTCTGCATCCATCTGTTGCCTCTTCCCTTACTACTTAGACTTCAAGTGTTGTGGGGCAGTGCCAACACTAACTCTTTATTGTACGATGTCTAAAACAAATTAGGGCAGCATCTTGGTCTGTGACACAGGGTTTTGACTATGGAGTCAAATTGCCCATCTGATGCAATAAACTTTTCTTCCCCTGTTAGGTCCTGCTCAGGTTTGTGGAACATAAAGGACACACCTGCCTTTATCAGGAGGTGGCAAAATCTGCCACAGGGAATAAGAACAGAAAAGAGATTATAATTCATGCTATGGCCATGAAAATCATAAGGGTACTAAAGAGAGAAATCATAAGATATACAGTGCCAGAATTCCAGTGATATGCCTGAGCTGTTTCCAGGGCCAAACCATATTTTCAAATATATTCAAATATTTTCAAAGTCCAAGTCCACACTTGTTTTTCAGCAGAACACAAATTAACACTGAAATTCCATTTCCTTTGATTTGGATATATTATTCACACAAAAATAATGAGTCTCTTAAATGTAGGCCATGTCTAACATTGATATACTTAGAAAAGTTAAGACAAAGCAACTACAGGAGTGACCTCAGTGTTAAGGCACATTAATCACTCCTGTAAATGCACTCATTCAAGAGCAAAGTAGCCTTGGTTCACTGTAACTTAATCTCTAATTGCCATGGAGGTTCACATCCTCAGAGAGGATTAAACTAGAGTAAACTCAGGCTACCTTATTTATGCATGAAAGAGTCCTCATAATGGTATGGTATACAAAGGGACACTTCACAGTGATTGCCAAGTAATTTTATTTAAAAAAATATATATTAGCATATATAGAAACAAGAAGCAAGAAGCTACCCATTAACAATTGTTTCTCTTAATGACCATTCAGGGACATGACTCTCCCTGCTTTAATTCCACAGAAATCTTAACAATGCCATTGGGGCACTCTGGTGAAAAACCAAAAAAACCCCAATCTCAATTAAACTGCAACTATTAAAGAAAGAAGAGAAATGAAAGTGGAAAGAAAGTGAAAACAAAGGACAAAGGTTACTTCTGTTTGTTCAACAGCATAGCTTGCACATGATTCAAGCACTGCTCTCCATGACAAGCAGCGTAAATGTGATGGTTAGCAAGGTTAAGTAGTTATTACAGTGCTAAGCCTGGTGTTGCCTCATTGCCTGGGGGCTCAGCAATGCTGTTACTCCTCCGTCCCACAAGTGTGCAAAGGGACCCCAAGGAACTATCATTCTCTTTGCTTGTGGGCTATACCAAAAACTCTGTGCTCTTTGAGATATTCAGCATTTGTCCTGTAGTTTTCCGTCATACCAAGATCTTACCAGGAAGTTCACAGGATCAGGAAGTTTGACTAATCTGGTAAAAACTTAAATCGCTTTGGCTTTTAGACAGACAATTTATTAGTGTCATAAGTTACACCACCATGTCAATATTCTTACTAAATCCTAGGGGGAAAAAATAATCAATTATCAAGCAGAGCTTTGTCAAACTTTCGCTCTGCTCTTGATTTTAAAGTCTGCGTGACGCCATTGTGTTGCAGGAGCAGTGCTGTCCTGGATTAGAGGTTTGCTTGCTCCTAACGCTGCCTGCTTGCTTACAAAAGGTGAGAGGAACATATACTGAGTATAACTAAAGCGCAAGACAGCAGCAGAAGGAAACTAGTTTGAAATCTTTCCTTCTGATGGCTTTATTTGAGATGCAAAACACACTTCTGTTACTGGTTTTCTCTCTCAAGGCAATAGCTATGGTTACCCCTTCCATGACTTAAAACCCGCATCGCTCCTGTAACACCTTCTGCTCATAGCTAACAACCGCTTGTTGGTGCAGCTGCACGTGGCTTAGTATTGCCTTTCTTCTTGCAGCGCTGTCAG